GATAGTTTGGCATCCAACTGGTACGTGTCAAAAAAACCACAACTTGGCCTTGAACATGATCTGCAGAAAGTGTTCTGTAGTGGATCTCAGTAAAATGGGAGCTGGTCCTCCCTTTGTTTCTGTTGCAGTACCTTGAGCTCCTTAACTGGTTTTCTTAACTGACTTTATCTAGCAGGAAGCTCACCTAGCAAAAGTGTGAGTAATTTCTGCCAGATTAGTAGTGGATTAGCTAATCAACCCAAGGATCAGAGGGGTGCCAGAAGCAGTGTAAAGGAAGATGGGAGTGAGGGAGGGAGAAGAGGACCGCTTTTGACAGAGAGAGCTTTTTGCTTTATTCAAGTCTGACTTATGTTTCAGTTTGTACACTCTAATGAACACTGATCAATGATGTTTTCTAGCAAAATTGCAGTCTGAAGTGATGAACAAGAGCTTGCTTGTCACCTGGGCAAGTAGTTGTGTGCAAACTCTTCAACTTCCTAGAAATCTTTAAACTGACCTCAAGAAACTACACTTTTGCTGCTTTAAATCCAGAGAACACAACTCTCTCAAAAGTGGAAAAAGGAATTCTGGAATCTTTTTCTACCATTGTGACCTGACTTCTGACAGGCTCTTGTATAGTCAGAACATTAGTAAACACTGTGTCTGTCAACAGACTTGAGAGTGTTAGTATAAAAACTGTTAATCCAAGTGAGAAGGATAAGCTGTTGTAGTAGACAAGTACATTGCATTTACTAGAGCAGGTTTTACTACGGTTTTGTCTGTAAACGGGGTCTTTGGCTATGTCATCTGACATTTTTTGGACTGTATTCAGGCAACAAATTCTTGTACTAAATGTAAACTTTTTTAAACTTTTGTGCCATTGCTATATAAGAGGAATGTTTTAATGTTAAAATAAACTTATTTAATGATGGGCACTGAGCAATTCAGCTCTTAGAGCACCAGAACAAGAAACCTAAGGTTTGGGTTTGGCATTAAACCTTTTATATCCCTACCAAAGCAAACTCTGAAATTCTTTAAAAGATGATACGTCCTTGGAAGTGTGTTGCCTGGAACTGTACAAAGTGATTTAATCAAGTCTGGTTTCTGCCTCTCTCACTTACCTTCCTGTCCGTCACTGTTAACACAAAAGAATCTAGAAAAGCTCCCAAAATGAAGAGCATATGGATAAACCAGTAAAACTCTTTTCTTCTGGCCATTGTCACTTGTCCTTCAGGTTTAGTTTATTCTCTGGTACCATTATGCAACTCGGGATGCATTCATACTTCTGTTGTATAATTTTCATTAGGTATCTGTACTATGTTTGTTCATAGCTTTAACACTCTATGAATCTGTAGGAATAAAAATTGGAAGGATTGTTTGGTATTTCCATAGAATTAAGTGTCCAGGCCCTCTGGGGTTTAAGTGTACGGAAGTCATGATTTCTGATCTGTATGAAAGACTGATTCTATGCATTGCTTCATATGTGCAACAGAAGAATGACAGCAGATGATTGCAACAAGTTTGCTTGTGAATGAGGGTTTTTATTTCAAGATAGTCACAGAATTCTTTAGTCAAAATTTGAGACTACTTTTAAAAGAAGTTGAGTAAATTAGATGATGTAAAAGAACAACCGAAACATTAGCAGAGTGAAAATCCTTTTGGCCAATGGTCTAGAAAGTACGAAGGCAAAGCCTGTTCTGGAAGCACATGGTTCAGAGTACATCATACCACATTAAATGTGAGAGTATTGAGTTTTGTTCTGGACTCTCGTTTCCTGTGTGGTCTTAAGCAAGTGGGATTATTTATCCCATGTGTTCTCCATTTTAAAATGTGATTCTGTGGGTAGCTGAAAAAAACTCCTAAAGCATATGCTTGCATATGTTGTTAAGTTCTAGAGGTATTTGTGAATATCTGATACAATCAGCCAAAGAAGAGAGAATGTAGATACAAAGATATCGTAGAAAATATGAAGAATTTTTTCATAGTGGAAATTTTACAATGATATGCCTTCTGAACAGAAAACTGGTAGTTTTTCTCTTCAGTCATTGTCTGAAGAATTGAGGTCAATAGATTCCTTCAGATTTCCAAATGAAAACTAGCCGTGGTGTTGCACTCCAACTATAGATTTCCAACTTCCAAGAAGCACAGTTTACTGTTCTTTCTAATGTGATGTTACGGGAAGGAGTTGAGAGAGGACGGATGTTCCAGAACAGACCTCATTTTGCCTCCTTAGCAAGAAAAGGACTAAGAAGCTGAGCTTTAGGTTTTTTTTCCTTGAATGCTAATTTTGCAGTTTAAGGGCAGGAAGGAGATAGTAAAATCAATTGCATTTTCTGGCATTAATCTGGACTGTATATATGACATGAATTCTCTTTATCACTAAAAGAACCCCAGTAATGATTTGTTTGTGGGCAAATTGCCAAAATGCAAAGAGTTTGGACTGGTTCATAAATAGCTGTGCTCTCCGAGCTTTACAGTCTGTTCAAATTTAAACCTTCCCATCATTCTAGAAATGGGAGTATGTGGAAAGGGGGAAATGAACATTTTTTTGGCTTTGAGTCACTGGGCAGACTGCAATGAATACAGGCTTTGATTCCATAAGGGACCTTTTTTCCTTCAGTCCACCAAGTTTTGTAAATTGTGGATTACTAACTTGTTCACCCCATTCCAGCTGGTCATTGTGTGGTGCTGGGGGAGGGAATTGTAGGGTAGCTAAAAGGCATAGCAATGCTTCTTGTATCAAATATAGTGGAACATAAAAAAGAAGCCTTGCTTTTCTGTAAGCATGTTCGTGGAAACAGAAGATTTCTTTGATTTGTAAGATTGTGCAGCGTATCATAAACATCTTATACAGACCCCCATGGCAGGGGATTTGGACTAAGGTCCCTTCCAACCCAAATCATTCTGTTTCTATAACCTTGAGTTAATTATTTATAATACTGAAAACTGAGAATCCTAACCAGAGAGATCCATTAGTAGAAAAAGGCAATATAATTGACGGTGTGGGAAATAATTTCAGTGAATGTTGTTGAGTCAGAGTGAAACCAAATTTGTTTTTTATAATTTACTTTCTGGTCCAACAGGATGTGTGCCTATTTTAGAAGGATATTAAACCCATTTACACCTTGTTGTTGCCTGATGCCTTTCTCAACAGAATTAATGGGGTAACCTAGGCAATGAGAGTGTATTTAATACTGTCTTGTACTGCTCTAGGCTCTGCCTAGAGCTGATCAATATTTATATCTATCATCTGCTCTTAAATATAAAATCGTTGCCCAGACTTGCTCAGATGGAGTGCCGACTGGAATGATAAATTATGGTGAGTAGGCAGCACAAGGGACATGGATTATATACAAAGATTCATTTAGTCAATTAAGTTATCCTAGTGTAGACAAATGTGAGGTCACACAGAGCATACAAAGGATCTGTATTATGTGTGATATAGGAGAGATCTGTATTCTGGATAAGCAAAATTGGGTGGAGTACCCAATGGGGTGGACCTCTTCAAAAGGTGAAGCTTCAGTGGCTACTGCAAGCCTCAGCTACAAAAGCAGGTATCAGCATGTCATATCTATCAAAAAATAAAAAATACTGAAGAGTCTAGGTAGCTCACTGTAGACTGGAGGAAGTCTCCTTTTATTTTTTTAAAAAGTGAAAGTTTTAAGCACCTTGTTCAGTTAACTTGTTGACGGAAATAGTAAGGCCTTACTCTAAGGAGAGAGCTGTAATGTGGAAAAAATGCGTAGCCAGAGCTGATCTCTGACTCAAAGTTCAGGACAGTAACCTGAACATCACTGTTTAATAATTCATAGATAAATTATATGAGCTTATATACTAGATTCTCGGTCATTTTGGATGTCATTATTGATAAATCTTGATTTTTTAAAAGTTGTTAACCTTGGTATGGGAATAGGAGAGAGAAAAAGTGTTGTGACTTGTAATATGGAGGAGGCCAGACTCCATACAGATTGTGGGTCTTTCTTGGCTTGGTCAGGAGGTGAGTGGCAGCTTTCTGCATCAAGCCTGAAGGGTACAAAAGGCTCATTCTTTCTGGAGCTTGTTTACCTTGGAAGCTGAAGCATTGAATGGAGTCTCTGATGGGCCATGAGCTTTGTAGTAAGCAAACAGGAATGTAGAACCTTTGTCCTCCCCCTGTTTTTTTCCTAAATGGAAAGCTAGACTGTATCATAATATGTAGATGACGTGATAAGTCAACATAGGGTAGAACCCTACTAAACCTCGTTCCTATAAAGTTATTAGTGATGTGTACCAGCTGAATATCTAGGATCAGAGTGTTTTTTGATTAGTTTTTTTCTTCATAATTCTCTTGGTAGATCTTGGAGATATGGATGTTTCTTCTCTTCATTTGAATTTTGCTTAAAACTCTGCCTGTTACTGCTTTTCTGTGATAACTTGCCTTTGTCTAACTGGCAAAACTTTCATACTACTTTCTGAAATACCTTGAAAATCAAACAAATGAGTAAAGGTCCATTACTGGATTATGAGCTGAAGAGAAGTGTCAGTTAAATGGAATAGATCTTCAGATTTGAACTAAAAATTGACATGAAGCGTTTATAAAAAGGTAAATGGCTTCCTCTCCGTGGCTTGCCGTTTATTATCCTAAAATGTCAGATATGTTATAGAGGCATTAAGGCAGGCATAGTGACATTGAAACATAAAATAGGAGGTAATCCTTCCTTGGCGGTGGGTAGGCTGCATGTCTCAGACTCCATATCTGGGCTTTCATGAAGCGTAACTTAAAGAAGAACACACTTTCTTCCAAACCTGGTAAAAACATGTGCAAAAAGGATTAAACATGGGAGTTGTTCTCAGACACCTAAGAATGTAATAATTTTTTTTGCTCGTTCTCTTGAATTCCTTCCTCAGTGCTGTTCAAGGAAAGCAGACTTCTCTGTTTGCCAAGACCTCAAATCATAGTTTCTATATGGAAAACAATGTCATCTTTCTTTGTTCATCTTCTTACGAAGCATTTACTCTATTTTCTTTTTTCTTCCCCCCAGTGTTCTGAGGAATCTAAACACAACGATGAGTCACCTCAAGAAGACGAAGGGTTTATGGGTATGTCACCTCTTCTACAAGCCCACCATGCTATGGAGAGAATGGAAGAATTTGTGTGTAAGGTAAGGGCATGTGGAAACCCCTGAAGTAGCTTCCTTTTTTAGGAAGCTCTACTGTGCAACAGACTATACTTGCAGTAACTACACTACTAGTGTGAGGGAGAGCAGATACACGCCATCTCTGAATGGGCATCTGTTGTTATAAGTAGCAACACCACAGCTTCTCAAGATCTCAATCTGTCATAAATGCGTAACTTGTAAAGCGTGGAACAATAGGGGTTACAAAGGAGACTCTAAAGCTGATTATGCAACTGAGGAGTGTCTGTTGAGAAACACCTGTGAGTGCAAAGCAGGAAAAAAAGCCTTCTGGTTCAAGAGACTTTCATTCACAGTGTCATTTTTTTCCCAGGTTTCTTCAGACTTGCAAATATTTTGCTTTTCCAGCACCATTTGCATCCATTGTAGAATAAGATTTGTCCCTTACTTGAAAAGAAAACAAGGCTGTATTAAAACTGTATCTTAAGTAAATTCATTGTAGATTTTGTAACTTCTGACTTTGGCTCAATTTTTGCTACTTTTTGGAGCCATGGGGCTCTGGCCCTCCTTTCTTGGTGAAAGAAGTGCTGCCCCTTTATATACTTGTTCCTACTGGTTTTATGAACTATTCTTTGATGGGACCCTAATTGCTTGGTGGTCTTTTCTGTCGGGGTGGTTTTGTTGTTTGTTTTTTCTTTTTTTTTTACTATGCATATTTTCCCCTTTTTTAGATGGTCTTTAGGTGGATTGTCTAAAACGAATTATCTCCTGCTGTTCCTACCTCAATTCCTATTTTTGGTTCATGAAGTAAACCAGTTATTTTCTTGTTTAATGTATTTAAGAACCCAGTCTTTAACTGGGTTGGTTATTCTGATCAGTTTTACTTCCGTGAAGGAGTGTGAAGAACTGATTTAAAAACTCTAAGCTCTTGTTGTTGAAACTGAAATAAGAATGTAGCTTTTTAAACTTAGTGTTTCAGGATTCTTCAGGCTCGCTGCTGTGTTACTAGCCAGACGACAAATCCAAGGAACACTGCAGAAACAACCCCAGAAACAACCCCGGTATATAAAGCAGTTCCCTGATACCCCTCTGCTTGGCAGTGCTGCTTCTGATGCCAAACTGAAGACTACATGTGTCATACGTTACTGAAGCAGCGTTTAAGAACACCCGTGCACACTCTTTTTCATTTGGAACCAACTGCAAGGATAAATGTGTGCACATACACTCCCCCTTTAAAGAAGAAATCTGATGGAATTGAGAGTCATGGGTCACCGTTTGTTTTGGGAATGTGGGAGAATTTTTTTCAAACCGGGATAAGGGATTGGACACTTCTCACTGGACTCTTGCCACTTCATGCTTTCTCTCCCATATTAGTGCTGATGGGTGGCTTTTCTGCTAGACTGCCCCAAATGCTAGCAGATAAATAGTCAGATTGGCTTGTGGTTAGAAGAACAGTCTTATTTATTTCTTGGAGAGACCTAGGTATAGGCTTCTTCAGTTAAATGGAAAGGATGGTCTGTGAAAATAACAGAACACGGAAATGAATTAAATGTCTTCCCTTCATTAGTGGTAAAAAGCCCAATAACGTTCAGTTCAATGAAATGCTGAAGTATTTCTTTCCCTAGTGGTGCAGCTCAACTTCCTAATGACACTGTTTTGAACAGGGAACAGTGAGTTAAGTGCTGTATTTCAAGTGTAAAGCCTTTTCCCCAGAGATGTCCCATCAACCCTTTTCTTTTTACTGTACTCAAAGATTAACACTTTTACTAATACAGGTTTTCTGACTTTGGCCACACATCAGTGGGACTCCATTCCCTGCATTTAACTAAAATCTTCTAACTTCTAGGTATGGGAGGGCCGATGGAGAGTCATTCCCCATGATGTTCTGCCTGACTGGCTGAAGGACAACGACTACCTGTTGCACGGACACAGACCACCCATGCCTTCCTTCCGGGCTTGTTTCAAGAGTATCTTCAGAATACACACAGAGACTGGTAACATCTGGACACATCTCTTAGGTATTGTCAGCTTGCTCTAATGCTAATTGGTTTCATTGCTCTCTGTGGGGTGGTCAGTACTATCGTTCCATTAGTAATCTGTTAACAGGTTGGTACCCCTCTCCTAATTTTATCCCAGCAGGGTTGGATGGGACTTCCTTAATTACAACATTCAATACAAATTAATTAATTAAAAGTCTTCTGATTGTTAATAAATTACCAGTAGATGTTCTTTTTCCCCCCCCAAGTGTATAGGTGTTAATTGAGATCACATTTCTTGCCACAGGAACACACTTAAGTTGCAGCTTGTACAAGTGGTTTCAACTTGCAAGGAGCCTTGAAGGGAAAGGTTTTCCATGAACCTTGCCCTTCTCTTACATTTTGCAACAGATTTTTTAATTGTTCTAGAATGTCCTACTAGTTGTCAGACTTCTTGCAAAACAAGTAAAAAACCAGAGTTCATGCGAGTCTGCATTGCTTCCATCTGAGACAGAGATGTGGTTGGAATGCCTCACTGAAGTAGGACAGTATGTTGTTCTACGTGTGTGCTCCTGGTTGTCATGCAGCTTCTGTATTTAGTGCTCCTGTATGTTAAAGTCATGCTTTTAGAAAGAAAAGCTTTCAGTATGCATGAACTTGACACCTTTCTGCCTTACTGTTTTTTAGGATGCGTGTTCTTTCTTTGTCTGGGAATCTTCTACATGTTCCGGCCAAACATGTCCTTTGTAGCACCTGTGCAGGAGAAAGTGGTTGTTGGATTGTTCTTCTTGGGAGCCATACTCTGCCTCTCCTTCTCATGGCTCTTCCACACAGTTTATTGCCACTCGGAAGGTGTTTCCCGGCTCTTCTCTAAGTAAGTGCCTAAAGGACAGGGCAGGCCAAATAAGAAGCAGGTGGGAAAAGAGTGTTGGGGATTTATGCCTTGAGCCCCAGAGCAGGAGTTGTTCATGGCATGACTGCATGTACTTTGAAACAGAGTTGAGCAGAGATTCGATGCAGCTTCTTCTAATTGTTCCAGCACGAGTTTTTGTGCTGTCAATTTAGTCTTAAAACTCCTTCATTTCCTGCTGTTTGGCAGGCGTGTGCATGCATTTTGCTGCTGTAAGTAATATACCTAGAGCTTAGTTGCAGGACTTTGAATTTTTAATGCAGCTGTCACATCCTTTCATTTCAACTATTCCGAGCAACTTTAAATCTTAAACTTATGTAAGACAGCTCCACAATGTGTATCAAGATGTCTAGGTCCTTTGGTTTTACTAAGTTTTCTTTTTTGGCTGGCCGCTAAATATCTCTTATTTCCTGAGATTACTCAAACTAGGATTGTGTAATCTGCAAGACCATCTCTAAAGTATCCTAACAATTAAAATCTCCTGCTGAAAAATTAACTCCATCTTTTGTAGGAGTGTTTTGTCAGGGTGTGGTAAAAAAGCAACAACAGTAGGACTTCCTTTTCTTCACTGGTGTACAGATAAACAGCATGATTGAAAAGTTGTGACCTTATTCCCCGATGGTCACTTGAGCTGATGCCTAACTGTGCTTGTCAGATACTAAAGTGTTTGTGTTGGATGTACTCTCACAACATACTGTGTGCCCTTTTTTGTGTCCAGAGGACTTTTGGGCTGCTTTTTTTCTTCATCTGAAACTTAAATTTGAGTTTCCTTCAAAAAGCTTTGGTCTAAATGCTGCTGTATATATTGCTGATGACTGTCCAAAAATGGCCTTGCTTAGCTGGCTGTCAAGGTAATCCATTACTGTGGGAGGGCACTGGTGGAAGAGTTGCTGTCAGGAAGTAGGTTGCAATGGTGAAAATAACTTCATTTTGCAGTGAGAAGTAGACAGTTGGTCTACTAAAGAGGGTGTTTGGTGTGAGGACTTCAAGAGGTTCGCATTTCTTAACAAACTGGTTTTTGTTGTCTCCTAGGCTGGATTATTCTGGCATTGCACTTCTCATAATGGGCAGCTTTGTACCATGGCTGTACTACTCCTTCTATTGCAACCCTCAGCCTTGCTTCATCTACTTGATTGTGATTTGTGTCCTGGGCATCGCAGCCATAATTGTCTCACAATGGGACATGTTTGCAACCCCTGAATACCGGGGTGTTAGGGCAGGTAAGACCTGAAGTTCATTGTTTTGCTTCTTGACTGCCTTTCCTTCTTCCTACTTGCCACTTGGAAAAACTGTCCGGGGAAGACTTAAGAGCACTTAATTTTATAGAGAGCTAATATTCTTGGAGTGGGAGCTTGATGGGTTTTCCTTCAGCAGTGATTATAGCCAACTGGATGCACAGATAAGGGCTGGTGCGAGTCCTAGAAGTGCATTCCTGAAATGGACAGTAACACATGCAGTTAGAAAAGGTAGTGCAAAGTATTTGTAGCTATATCTAGCAACTTTGCTCTTTCAAAAGATGACTGCTTGGTGTGTGTATGTGTATTCCTTCTCCTGTTTGTCTTGGTTTTGTAATAGTAGGCTCAGACTCTAGCAAATCATTGAATGAATGAATTAATTTGAATGATTTGCCTAGATAAACACATATTTAATACAAAGAGTCTAGTTTTCCTCTTGATGTGATCAGAAGAACAAAATCAGATTTGGTTTCACATTCTAAGGTAGGAAGGAAGAGAAAGCTTTAGGGGGCAGCTATGGAATCTGAATACAGCTGGGCTGAATAGTAAAATTTCTTGTTACTTAACCTGCACATGCTCTCTACAGTAAACCTAGATTTCCTAGACAAGCTATGGGTGTACCTTCAGAGAGTTCAGCCTTCTAAATTTAAAGTCTGGATGGGACGTGATTATTCCCCTCCATGCACAGCTTTTTACAAGATTTCTGTACTTGCTGCTAAAAATCTAAATAAATAAATGGTGTTCTCCAAAACTGGCAAATCAGATGAGCCTCAGATGCTGCTTTTCTGTTTCCTAGGACTATGTGTACAGTATGTGATAAATAATCTCTTTGTTGTCTGTCCTTGTTGCCTTGGATCTTGAGAGATTATGGTCAAGTGAGAGGTGGTTTGTGTAGTCTCAGTGCCCTCTACAGTCCAAGATGTGTAACTGGACTAAGCTGTACATTAAAGCTGGCAGATCCACGTTAAATGAAGTATTCAGTATGTGCTGGAACGTATAACTAAGTAGCTTCTAGTATATGAAGGAACTCTGTGCATTCTTTAACTTCCCCTCTGATAAAGCGCTTCTGGGGACCTCCAGCTTCGAGTTGTCACCTTTCTGTTGCTTTGGCAAATACTGAGCTTTCCCTCCGTAGCTTTTGTGTTTTCATTGTCTCCCTTTACCGCCACTGTGTCCAAATCTGATTCTCCCACATTTTCTTTACCTCCCAGGAGTATTTCTAGGTCTGGGTCTTAGTGGGGTTATTCCCACCCTGCACTTTGTCATCTCTGAGGGGCTCCTGAAAGCAGCCACAATGGGGCAGATAGGCTGGCTGGCACTCATGGCATGCCTGTACATCACTGGTGCTGCACTATATGCCGCCCGCATCCCGGAGAGATTCTTCCCTGGCAAGTGTGACATCTGGGTGAGTCTACAGAATGACTGGATGAGGAGACCAACGTGAAAGCTGGTTCCCCGTGAGACTGGAGACGATGTTGTGTCAATGTTTTCTTATTGCAAGTATCAAACTGCTGCACCAGAAGCATAGGTCTTAGGGTGCCAAACAACTGGGGGCGCTCTGAGCCTGCCTTACCTGGTGCCTATTCCTGAGTTATCACAAGCTGCCTGGTCTGAGGTAAGGGGTGTGCAGATTCACCCCAGAACATCTACTGAATAGCTTTAGTAGATGGATAAGCAACTTTGCGAACCTTTTTTTTGGGTGGCTCCTCATCTTGTGCAGCCAGTGAACAGAACACTGGATAGAGATGGTAGTCTGTCCTGGTTTGGAGGGATCTCTGGCTCAGAAGAGGGGAAAGTGGGATGAACAAGTGGGTGGGCAGGGGGAAACTTTGAGGGAAAGGATCACGCAGACTGTGGAGGGGAAATATGAGAGGAAGGTGTAACTAAAGAAACTGAGTGGAGCAGGAATAGAGGTGAGAGGGAAGTGGACCTTTGGAAGGCCACTGTACTTCCACTTGGGTAGTTTAAGACCCCTAAAGAATACTGGAAGTGAGAACGAAGCCTGGGTTGTTTGAGTGCCTTTTGCAGAGAGCCAGTTTGCTAGGCTTGTTTAAATGGCCAAACAAAGCCTTGTTATGATATTGAGCTAGGTTTTGAAGCACTGATGTACTACCAGCTCTCTTCCAAGTTTCCCGTGGAGCCTGCAAATGCACGGTTGTAGAAATTTTTCAAGAGTGTCATCCATATTGGTATGGCTTCCCTCGAACAAGGACGTGCTTTGTCATGTAGCTCCCTTGAGGTTTTCATTCTGCTGTGCTGTAATCAATAGCATCCTGGGCACTCATTCCAAACGTCTGGTTGTTTATAGGTTTTAATACAATACCTTTTTTTTTCTGTTTCTCTATGGCACAGAAATAAAATAACAGCGTTGTGAAAATCCACTTGGTAAAACTTGTGCCTGTGACCAGGGCAGAGTTTGTACCTGTTAGGTGTATGAGAGCACCCTTTTTATCTAAAACAGCAGCATGTGTGGCTGAGGAGCTAATTTACAAGGGGTCCTGCCTTTTGCCCAAAGCCTTGAAATCATCCTTGTCCTTTCACAAAGATGTGCATAGCATTTACATAGTGTATTTGTGGATTCACCAGCCGGTTAAAATGACTGTGGAGGAAAGTGGATGTGTGTGTGTGTGGAGAATTTGATTATTTGATAGGAGAGAACTTTGAGAACTTTGCAGCTTGTGGTTGGAGGCACCGCTGCTCCGTGTTACTGTGTACTTCAGCTGAACGTGTGGCTTTTTTGGAGACGGGGTAGGACCGGAGTCCCGAGTGCCCCGGCTGAACAGAAGTGTTTTCTTTTCCGCAGTTCCACTCCCATCAGCTGTTCCACGTCTTTGTCGTGGCTGGTGCTTTCGTGCACTTCCACGGGGTCTCCAACCTCCAGGAGTTCCGTTTCACGGTGGGAGGAGGCTGCTCAGAGGAAGATGGGATGCAGTAAAAACCAGCCTTCAGCCCGAGATCGTAACCAAAACAGCACCGCCAGCGCGGTCGAAGCGTACAGGCTAGCGAAACGAATACCTAAGAAGAATCCAAGTTTCAGCTGATGGGGCGTGGAGCTTCATGGGGGATTCTGACTAACCAATATAAATCCTATACCTCAAGCAATGGAATGAATCAATTTGAAGACCAGGAAATTCTGAAACCCTAATTTATTCTTGGGATCTACAGATTGAGCTACAGAGGACCCTTTCCAAATCGGCTTCTGTTCAATGCCATATTTATTTGTAGAAGTGGGGAGGGATAGCTTAGCAGTTTCCTTTTTTTTTAAAAAGAAAAAAAAAAAACCAAGGTTAAATTTATATCCTCTTGGAGGGTCTGGGAGTTGATTTTAGATGCTCTTTTGGGAGAAAAAACAAATTGTAAATAAGATTTCTAACTTTCTGTTTAAATAAAATTTATATAAATGTTTTAAACAATGGGTGGGGGGGGGGAAAGGGTTTTTGTAAAGAATGCAACATGCAAGTACCACACACTGTTTCAATTTTGCACAAAACAAATGATTGCAGGAGGACCAGGTAAAATTCCCAGGAGTGAAGCATGTTGGCCCTGTAGATTTTTTTTTTTCCTGGTGGCCAGCATGTCCTGGGCAATGCAGGGTCCTGGCCAGCACTTGGAGTGGGTTCAGTACGTGTACACAAGGGTTGTGGAGGCTGGATTAATCACGTTGTCATCCAGGTCACAGTGTTAGGAGGTTGATTTACTCAAGGAGAGATAGATCTGTGTCCTGCCTCGGTGTGTGGGACGGCTGCCTCCCGAGCTCGCGTGGCCTGTGTAGTTTGGGATAGCGGATCTTACAGTAAGTTTGTTTTTCTCCTGGTATGAATTGGAGCGTGATGGGATAACTGCACATGGAATGGGAAACAGTCCGACTCCACCAGTGCCTGCCTATACCCAGAGGCTCCCGTTGAGTAGATGGTTGCCGTTTGCAGGCCTGCCCTGGTTTGTCTGAACAAACGATGGCTGGTAACGCACTTGTCAAAAGATAGTTGAGCATGTGAGGGGAAACAGAGGTGGGGTTAAGATGGACTGGAAAGAGGAAGCTGTGCGCTCCAGGGCTTGGAGTTAACAGTTACTGCAGACCTCAAGCACATTACCTTCTCATGTGTCAGGCTCCATATGCCAAGGGAGTTTGCAGGTTTTTCTTTTTAAGAGGAAAAATCCACAATCAGCCCAATGCAGTTCCATTATTATTTTTTTTTTTTTTTCTTCCTTAGGTCTGCTTCCCATCTGTGCTTTAGCAATGGGACTGCTGGTATTTCTTAAACCTAAAACTAAGAGTTCAGTTGAATTGCTGTGGAGCAGACGCACCTCCTATAAAAGGGGAGGCATATATCCCTCTCTTGTGTAATTGATGTAGCTTGATCTTTGGAGCCCAGTCAGAAGCTAAACTGAAGGAGAATCTTTGGAGTCATGAGATGAAACTTGAACGTTTTGTTTGTTATGGCACAGGTATTGCTTGGAGTGTTTAGTTGGAAATTCAGAGCAATTACCTCTCTCACAGATGAGTTAAACAGCTCATAAAATGCTGTATTTCACAAGAAAGGAAGGTAAAGGGTGGTTTTCTTTGTTTTGCGTTTTTTTTTTTTAAGACTCCTGCAAGTGTGAATTTTCATCCTTCAAGAGAAAAATGTGGATTGCAAAGATCTTCCCGTACCCTGGATGTCATGGAGTGTGTTTTTGGGGGGAGGGAGGGGGTTTCTTTGCCTAATGAAGTAGAAGCAGAACGCCTTCCAAAAGTTGACTGGCTATTAAGGCTTCACCCCTCGAATGGAGTCTTTGTAAAGCCTCTGAGAGCAAGGTCAGCTGCAGAAAGCGGTGCCGCGGCGGAGGCCGCGAGCCGAGAGGGATGTGTTCTCAGTAGGATGGCTACACTGGATGCCTGTAGGGCCAGAAGTTGTTGATCCCAGGTCTGCGTGGTACTAAAATGAAGTAAAGAGCAGTATTAATTTGGATGTAAGGGCTAATAGCACTGGCATCCTGGACAAAGAGGTGGAGTTGCCCGGCAGGGAGTATAGTGGTGTCTGAGAAAAGCGTGGTACATATCAGAGTCGGAGTGGTCTGTAGGGTGCTTTGGGATACCTGTTACAGTACCAGCAGGAGGGGCAGTCTCCATCCTGGAAAATCCCACCTTCACTCCATGAAGGGTGATTGTTAACCTGGTCCTACACAGCACAGAACTTCTTACAAAAACACAGTACTCCACCTGCTATTCTTAACCCAGTCAGTCTCTCCGTTCGAGAAGTTTGTGTTCCAATAAAAACAACCTAGCTGTGCACTTTTCTGTAGCTCTTGCTGAGAACTCTTCCCAGGTTGGCACCTGAATGCCTTACTCTCAGCAGTCAAGAGGCTTGCTTGCTCTGTGTGCAGGTTATTGCCATAGAATAGTTAGGACCTACAGCTTCTTTCCTTCCCCATTAAATAGTGGCCTTGTTCAGTATATTTCTTTTTAAAAATTGCTTACTGTTGAAAGCAATGAAGCACATTCTGGGGTTTTGATGGCTGGGGACTCTGGTGATGGTTCCATATAAGATGGGATCTTATTACTTGCTGTATTCTTAACTTCTGCTAATAAAAGAACCAAATGGAATATCGTCTAGTTTGGGTCTTTCTGTGCTGCGCGTGAAGTTTGAAAGAGTCGCTCTCCCTTTCTTCCTTCCTGATGCTTCATAGGTAAAAGAACTTCTGCTGGTGCCTAAAGGCTTGTGTGTGTGCAGTTGAACCACTGCTTGCTGTATGCCTCCTCGAGCAAAAGCTGGTGGGTGGGAGTTTGTCCTACTGAAACATTAGTTATGCTGTGTGTCACCTCTTGATATCTATAATTCACATCAAGTTTTTGTGCCTGGTCTTGCCATAAGATTTCAATACTGTTTAACATGTATAAATGTTGCAGCAGACAAAGGTGTCCGTGGAGCGTGCTGCCTCTTAGCGCTGATCTCGAGGGAAATCTGTTTTTCCAATGTCTATGCTTTTATTTGATGCCCACTGGAGTTGCCAGTTGTAGTGCAGGGCAGATAGTGGGAAAGAGGTGCCACCACTTCATGAAACTGCTTGGCATTAAGAATTCCCCTGCCATAACATAATTCTGAACTTGCAGAGAATGAGAAGCCTGGGACAATGTTTATCTTGTCTCGTGACTGCTTGTTTTTGACCTCTGCCATATTTTAAAAGTAACTTGAGGAGCAAGTGGGATGGATTGGTGTTACTGCAAAGTTTCCTCTTTTGTTTTGGAAAGCTTAGCTGAACCCACTCTGTAGAGTGAGGGCATCAAGCTGCAGGGTGGTTTTGGGGCTGGCTGGCCTTTGTCAGATCTCTCTCTCCATCCAAACCTAGGCTAGCTATAAATTCAAAGGTTTTCTATTTTTTTCTCTTATTTAGAGACACTAATTTTAAATGGCTCGGTTCTTCAGCTCCTGTCCTTGCAGAGTGTAGAGCAGATTGGAGTGAGGAGTACACAAGGAGTACTCCACTTGCTTGTGGAGTACACAAGCAAGGTTTAAAAGGGCTTTTTCCTACCACTGGAGGTTGGGTGCCTGGGGAAACAGGCAGATGAGGGAAAGGAACAAACTGGCCAAGGGGTCAACCTGGGTGGAACGTGGTGGAAGGAGCAGAAACTCTGATTTATGGACAGTATTGGAAAGCCAAAGGTGAAGCACTGAGAGGGGAGAGCTTGTGAGGAGGGCTCGAGGGTGCAAAGAATAAGAGCTGGGTGGAAAAGAGGGTGGGTGCTGGACACCGTGGTGGTTGTGGGCAAATTTTGAGGTGAGTTGAGATTGAGGTAAGACCTTCAGGAAGCCTGGACTCAAATTCCTGGTGTAGAGGAAACACCTCCCAGCCTGTACCACAGGAAAGGGTTGATTGTTGTCTCCTGGTTTGCAGGCTGTAGGGGCTGGCAGGGGTGGGAAGGAGTCAGACTTGGCTGGTGCTGACCAGAACAGCCCCATGCCTGGACTGGAGCCTTCTCCTTCATCACCATTCCTTGCCTGTCAGCAAACATCTGTGACCCGCCTGGGCAAGATAAACCTAATCCTCTTCTTGTGCTGGTTCACACTGAGTCTGGGCATCCACAGCTCTGCTCTTTGTCACTTACTTGACTCAAGACACATATTTTGCAGTGATTTGTAAGAGAGCCAGCTCCAGTAAATGACCTGTGACAGCTTGAGGTCTCAGGATGGATTTTTTGGTGGTGGTTTTTTTTTTTTTTTTTTCCTTTGAAAGCTTCACAACATTCCAGGACATAGAACATGATTCATTCTTCACTCTGCAAATTTCAATTAGACAGTCCCTTGTTATCTAATGATGAGTTTTGCCCTGCCTGCTACAATTCACCCTTGCTGGTGCCTTGTATTCATGGAAACTCAATTATTCTGGATTAGCAACCTTCTATCAGTATGACACCTGATTATCTCAAAGCAACAAGTAAAAAATTTACTTTTGGGTGTTTTTCCAAATTCTGAAAATTTGGACACAGTTAAAAGTATGTCATTTCAAATGAGAGTATGCAGATCAACAATTCACTACAGCAAAAAGATCTCTTATTGAGAATATGGAGTTGATTTCAGAAATGAAGATTTTGGCCAACTTTAGGTTCTAGGAGTGATTTTTTGGTTTTGTTTTTTTTTTTTTTTTTTTTCTTCAAATGCAAAGCAAATCCAAGGAGTGTGGAGAACGTCAGCATCAGACTGCACACGAGTTACACTAAAAGAAGCTGCCATGTTTGAACGGGAGTTGGGTTTATTTTGCTTTTGAAGAGCAGAGTGATACTTTAGAGTTGCCTGGGCAAGGTGAAGTTGTATGTCCTACTTCTGCTCCTCGTAGTTGTGGCTGTGCTTTGCTCTCTCCCAGGAGCTGTTTGCTTTGGGAAGAGTGAACTTACCCTGAGTATGGATTAGATCCCTGGAATCGAGGTGAATATTGAAGGCCGTTGCCCAGCTTTTTTTAAGGAGCTGGAATAAATGAGGCGTAGGATTAGTGTGGAGGAGCTGAGTTTGTTTTAGTAGAATCCATTAGAGATTTCCCTGCAAAAATGACTTCTTTATCTCTCCCTGCCTCTTTTTTTTCCCCCCTTCCTGCTGTGTGGCAACAAAACAGTTTGTTTGAACCAAACTCTCCAGCTGGTCAGTGCTTCTGTATTTGTCTGGAGTGGCCAAGCCAAAATTCTCCAGGCTGATTTCTATGAGTCCTGAGCACTGATGTGCTTTGAATGAAGTTCCCTGGAAAAGATGTGTGTCAATTCCTAGGTCCATATTGCTACTTACGGAGAAGGAATACCAGCCTTGAGCTCACAGCATCACACCGGATCCTCTTCAAGTGCTTTAACAGCAAGCAGCGCAGGAGAAGCACTGAGGAAACCCTCTGCTGGGCATCACCAGCCACTGCCAGGGGACCACGCTGTGTCTGGGACCTTGTTTGCCATCGGGAAGGTGGGCTCCTTGGGGAGGGGTGGCAGGGTGTGAGCCTGGCACTGCGGCATGTGCACGAGGGGATGGTTTGCCCACTGGATCTGAATTCTGGCATTTCCAGGAGCTTCACCTTTGCCCCTTGTACCTGTGTACCTGTTCTCCTCTAGGAAAATTCATGTTTGAAGACCAGAGCTGTCGCTGTTTCTCAGCTCAGAGCTGTTTGCACTGGGGATTCACAATGATCTCGCTTTTTAGCAGCTCCATCTCTAGTACTGGTACAACTGGGCACAGGGACTCTTCACAGTTGGCATAAAACCCGGACCAGCCGAGTTGTAAATGAGATGGGAAAATCGTGGGCCTGGCTGGGTTCCCAGAGCAACACTGCGTTTCCCTAATGGAGGCAAAGGCCACCCAAGCCAGCTCCAGCAGCTGCTTGTTTTCATCTCTAACCATGCCCAACCTCTGCCTGTGGTTTGGGGTTGGCCTTGGCGCTGGGCTGGGGCTGAGCTCCCCCAAACCAAAGCAGCTGTTCTGCGCAGCCAAGGCCAGTCTGGGGCAACAGGAGCAGCTGGGACTTGGGGTTGGCAGCTGCTGCTGGGAAGGTGTCTGTCCTGGGAGAGAGCATCACTTCCCTGCCTGCTCCTGGCCATGGGGGCCAGGGAGGGGCTCTGGCCCAGGTCCCCCCGACCTGCTGCCCACAGGGGTGGCCGGGCTGGGTTTGTTTGCCTTGTGAAAGCGATGGTGTGTCCCTCAGAGCTGGGCAGGAGAGGGGGGGACAGCAGGCTCCAGCTCCTGCTGCTGGTGGGCTGCCTGTGTGGGGTGGGAAGAAGCCACCACTGGCTGAAATTTAGAAGAGCAAGAGCAGCTTGGGGCTGTGGCTGGTGTGTGACTCGCAGCATGGGTGTCCTCCCTCCTGTCCATGTGTGGGGAGTGCCCTGTCCCCTTCCTTCCCTGCCACCTGCATGAGGCCAGCCCTGGATGTGACAGGAGCACCTGGGAAGGCTGGCAGCCTCCTGCCACCATCCCTGCAGCCTTTCCTCGAGGGGGCTGAGGAAGCACCCCACGTCCCTGTGCCACCCAGGTGCTGCTCCTCCTAACGCTGGTGGGAAGGACAGTGGTGGCTGTCAAAACTGAGCCAAACCGGGGTGTGAGGGCAGGGCTTGGGACACAGCCCTCTCCTGCTGCCAGCAGGGACCTGCTCAGGGGGAGGCATGGTGCCAAAGCTCCCAAAATTCGAGGTGGCAGCAGCAATCAAAGCAGGAAGAAGTGATGCCATTTCCTGCAGGGCCCAGGAGGTATGTACTGAAGGACCAGGCTTGGTGGTGTCCAGGTGGGGCTGTGAGTGTTTGTGTCAAGCGTTGATGACGGGCTGATGTCACGGGAGGTAATGACAGTGGCACTCGCTGGCTGAGTGACGGAAGGCTAAAGGCTCCTTTGAGGCACGGGCATCGTTCTTGGGGGCCCTACAGGTCAGGGCAGAGACTTGGGGGACAGCCTGGGACAAGGGAGCTCCCCAGCGCCTGGTGTGGGGGGACAGGAGGAGCAGCCCCCTCCAGCGAGGGTCCTGCTGGTGATGAAGTGGCTCCAGGAGTGTGATGTTCTTGTCCCACTCACTTTTGGAGTAGTGCTTTGTAGAGAAGCCACTTTTGGTGCCACCAGCTCCACCTCCCCAGCGGGCAGAGAGGCCTGGGAGAGCGCAGGGTTTCTGTGTAGAGAGAGCCCGTGGGCTTTATCAGCCATAAAAAAAAGCATCCTGGAAAAATAATACTGTGAGGAGCTCAGCTGTGAGAGGTACACATACAACCAAGCCGGCCTGTGGTACTGGTCCTTCTACTTGGGGTGTGCAGCTCCTCACTGTGACCCACTGCCATCCCCGTCCCAGGACGTACCAGGCTCTCACTAAGTAGAAGCAGACTCAGGGCAGCTGCTGAAAAGCTGCTGCTTTTGTGCCCGCTCCCAACTGCAAGCAGCTGCTGTGAATCCAAGGCTGATTTTCCCTTACTATTCTGTAGGATGAAGTCATCCCTGTCTGGTCATACCCCAAGGTGTGGTCATCCATCTGCTCTGTCCCAAGGCCGTGAGTCAAGGGAGGGCACGTGTACGTGATGCTGTGCAAGGTGTGTGTCCCTGACGCTTACTCGTTCATCCTCAGTGCCCACCACAGTGTTTGGGGGGGGGACAGAGTTAC